TCATACTTTAATTTATGTTTGGAACATTTTATTTTTCATACACTTTAGATTTATGCAAAATAATAATAATAATAACAATAATAATAAATAAATAAATAAATAAAAATTTTGAGGATGAGATTTTAAAGAAGTCCAAGTAATGATTCTTTAAAATCTCTAGGTGATAATATTTTTCTAAAAAAATATTACCAAAGTAATGGAATATGTAGGAAAATATTCAATATAAAAGAATTTCATTTATCTATTTGCCTAAAATTATATTAGATGATGATAAAATAATATACAATTACTCTTTTAGGAATAAAATTAATATAGTGATACATGAATACTATGAGTAACTATTTGTATCTTTCAAAAAAATTATATTAAAAAAATTAATTCATTAAAAATATAATAATAGTGATTAATAATAATATAAATTAAAAATTAAGATTAGAATATGATATTTTTCTAAAAAAATACCACCAAAGTAATGGAGTATTTAGGAAAATATTCAATACAAAAGAATTTCATTTATCTATTTTCCTAAAATTATATTAGATGATGATAAAATAATATATAATTACTTTTTTAGGAATAAAATTAATATAGTGATACATGAATACTATGATTAACTATTTGTATCTTTCAAAAAAATTATATTAAAAAAATTAATTAATTAAAAATATAATAATAATGATTAATAATAATATAAATGAAAAATTAGGATTAGAATAAAATTAAATAAGAAAGGTATAAGTAAATGAAATTTCTAAGGATGTGATTCTAAAGAAGTTCGAGTAGAGATTTCTACGAAATGATTAAGTAAGAAAGTTCTTAAAATACCACCAAAGTATTGAGGTATATAGAAAAACTTTGAATAAAAGGATTTTATTTGCTTTGTTCCCTTAAAAATTTTATTAATAATGGTTGTTGAATAATTAGGTGATTAAGACCAAATTAAAATGAGTAATGAAAATATAACATAAGGAACATAAGTGATATGTTTTCTTAAAATATATATAATATGTTTTTTTTTTTAATGTATGTTGCACCTTATCATTGGCATTGCATAATCTTGAAAGTAATGGGAGTTTCTGATGATGGGATTTTGGGAAGTCCGAATAATGATTCCTAAGAATTTTCTAAAGAATTGGAATATTTAGAATAATTCTCAATGCAAAAAAAATTCTCATTTATTCTTCACTTCTAAAAATGAAATTTTATATAATGCAATAGCATCATAAATTAAACCATCTGCATCATACTAAAAAAGATATTTAAAAAATAATAAATATAAATGAAATTATGAAGATGAGATTCTAAAGAAATCCAAATAGCGATTCTTTAGAAATCTTTAAGTAAAAAAATTTATCTAAAATGCTGCTAATGTATTGGAGCAATAATTTTTGACAAAGATTTCTTGTCTTTTTTAATTAATAGAATAAGAAATGAATTTTTAAAAAAATATTATTTGGATTAAATTATAGACATCTTATTTTACAATATGCTTATAAATATAAAGATTAAAGATAAATATGAACTACCGAGAAAGAGATTCTTGAAAAGTCCAAATAGTGATTCTTAAAAGCTTTTTAGGTGAGAAAGTTCCTTTTGAGATTATAAAAATATTGGAATGTTTTTGGGAATTTTTCAATAAGCAAGGTTCTTATTTATTTTTCCAACTAAGATAATAATAATAAAAAAAACTAAAATTGCTACAATAAAAAAATAAGAAAAATAAATTTTAAATACCAAAATTAATACCATTTTAGTTAATATTAAAATATAACACATAATTAATTAGTAACTTTTTAAACGAGTATTATGACGATGCTAATCCTTCCTTAGGTATAATTGACTCTCGAATCTAAACTATTTTTGTAAACCCAAAAATTATCTTTTTAATAAATTTTAATTAATTTTAAAATTTTATTAAGAAAGTAAATTTTAATAGGTGACCAATTACATTTAACTAAAAAAGATTGATGGTAACTTTTTTTTATTTTCAAATTCATCTAATAGCTCCTCAACAACTGTTACGAAAATGGTTACTAGAGGTGTACTATTAATTTCTTTAAATAAATTATTGGTTGAGAAAAATAAGTTCAATAAAATTGAAATATAATGATAATTTTTAATAGTCATAAAACACTAACAATTTTGACCTTAATATTCTTATTTTGTATGGTCATGAGACATGACTTAAAAGTCATGACACTAAGTTTTTTTTTTTTCTTGTTTTTACATAAGATAAATATGATTCATGAGAAAATAAGAATGGATTCAAAATCAAAACCTCTATGTTTTTCCAAGAATTATTTAATCACTAAACCAAACGGTTAAAGACATAAAGGACAGCACTATATATCATTCAAACTTTATATCCATCCAAATCCCATATCATGGTGTCATGAATATGATGTTAATTGTCTCTTTTCCGGAGTTTGTTGTTTGTATTTTATTAAATCAAAGGGATTTTGAATTTTTGATAGCTTAGTTTGAGTACTAGAGAAGATGTATGATTTGCAGTAGACAAAAAAAGAAGTTTACTTAAAATTGATACATCTCCCTTATTTAAAAAGGTGACAACTTAATTTATAATTTATGCCTTTTTTTTTTTTTTTTTTGTAAAATCTTACTCATGTATTTTTCAAATTTCAATCAAGGTGCCTTTTCTAAATTTGATTTATCTGTGTGTGGTGATAAATCGTGTGAGTCAAAAAAGTAAAATGAAGCATGGAGAAAGAGCTCTTAAACTATTATTACACTTTTGGCCAGAAAAAAACTATTATTATAGTTTAATTAGGACTTAAATCTTGATAAAATTTTTGGATTACCTTTTAATATACAATTATGTACTAATTAACATACTATTATATGCAATTTGCATTCAAACATTCATGCTCTCCCATAATTTATTTTTTATACTATTACATTTTAATGGATACGTGTCAATCATATAAATCCATTTTTAAATTTAAAAACTTTAACATTGTTGTATAAATTAAATAATAAAATTTTATTCCATGGAGATTTTGTAAAGTTAATTAGAAGTATGATTAGGAAGATTTTATTAATGAAAACTTATAAACATGGATAATTTTAATAACATGATGAACTTAATTAGAGCACATTTGTATTGGTAGAATGGGTGGCTTAGAGGTTAAACTTTTGGTGGATTCTTTCAATTTCTTAATAAATTGATGCCTCGTTAAAAAATTCTTAATTAATTAGTGTGGGAAAGTGGGAGAAAGCATATTAAAGGCTCCATCTACATTACTTAGGGTTCATTTAACAAGAGTCTAGCAAAAACAACTTCATGAGATGAAAATCCCTTTCATTACACTGCCAAATGTATCCTTGGTCAATTGCGAAAATTCTCAAAACCTCATTTCAATCTGTTTTGTTCTAATTTATTGGGTATGAAGGACCATTATCTCTCTTACCATCCAACTACAAGAAAAAAGAACTAATTAATTACAATCAATATCTGCCAAAAATATTAGAATTGCAATTTCAGTTTGATTATTAAACTAAATTATTATATATTTTTTAAAAGGATTGATTTAATCCACCATGTTCATTTGCACATAGCTTACAAGTTAAAAAAAAAAAAAAGCTATTCCACCCCATTTTTCTATGTGACAAAGCTGCATTCCTCTGTCCCTACGCAACTTGCATTTTACAATTCAAAGAAAACTAAGAAACAGTAGATAATAATCAGAAAATTCAGAAACCTCATTTCCATGTAGTTACTCAAATGGCGTAGGCAACTCTAATTAATTTCTATAAAAGCTGCAATTAGACTATTTTTGCAATGGGAAGCTTGCAGGAAGAATTGAAAGGTAGGTTAGAAAAACTTGCAATATTTTCCGTCTCTGAATTGATTGCAAAAATCGAAAATAGTGGAAAATTTTTCCTGCCTAAGATTAGGTAAGGTTGGTTAGAAAACTGAAAACCATTTGTTTCCTTCATTCTTAATGCTTTGGAAAAACCCATATCCTTTTCAATGGGGTCTATCATGTTAATTTTTTTTTATCTGAAAAGAAAATTCATGCGTACATAATCACGTAGTCCGATATATGCCTCAGCTAAGATGAAAGGGCCAATACACCTAGGAACAACATTAAACATAACAACAAACGAGTCTTTAGACGCAGAGCATAAAGTAAAATTAGTTTCCTCGCTGCATATCCAGCCAATGCTGCAGCGCACCGGTTTCCTTCACGGTAAGTATGTTTTATCCTGATCTGTTGAAAGTTCCTCAACAGAGTCCTGCAATCAGAAATAAGAGTATTTGATGCCAATTGGAAATGCTAGTGTTGTTAATCAAGTTAATCACCCCCATCGCATCCAACTCTATTTCCAGCCTTGTTATTCCTTCCTTCCTAGCCAGGTCAAGGCCATCTCGTAGGGTCCATAATTCAGCTTCTACACTTGTGGCTCTAGGAATAAATCTGGCCATCCGCTTGATCCATTTCCCTTCGTGATTTCTTATGATAACCTCTGCCCCCGCTTTGCCTGGATTGCCCTTTGAAGAGCCATCGGTGTTGTGTTTAAGCCAACCTTTGGATGGTGGTCTCCATTGGACAACAATGGTGGAAGGGAAAGGTCCTCTTTTCACTTGATCCGCCGAAGCAATAAATTCAGTAGCATGATTGATAGCATTGTCAGTCACTCTGGAGTTCACTGGTTTCCTTTCAAAAATGATCTTGTTTCGAGTCTTCCAAATTTCTGACAACATGAAAACAAAAGCCGTGCTCTAGGAGGCTCATTTATTAGCCAGCCATGTTTTGTTGATGATGTTGTCCCTGAGCCATTTATCCCACGAAGTGATGCTGGTGATAGATGTACAGATGGGGCAGTTAAGGGTGGCCTCCAGGTTTTCATAATGTGGCATTCAGCAAACAAGTGTATTATTGTCTTATCTTGATCACTGCACAAAGGGCACCTATTCTGGACATTCAATCCCCCTGCTAAAAGAAATCACAGGTGGGAAGGACTTTTCTTTCCCCCTGCTAAAAGAATTTGAGGTTAGGGGGAGCTTTTTGTTTCCTAATCCAGGTCCACATGTCTCTTTCTTTTCCACCACCTTGCATGTCATGGTTGAGGGCAAATTTATATGCACTGTTCAAATCGATTTCTCCAGAGTTAGAATAATTCCAGCACATGGAGTCATTACCAACATCAGGACGGCTAAAGGGAACACTTTGGATGGCTTGCAAAACTTCCAAGGGGAGATCAATGGCAACAGGGTGTTGGTTGCCAGAATCCACCCTTTGCTTGAATTGTTTAACTATGATGTTTTCATCTTCGCATTTCATAGGACCAATAACAGGGCCCTAACCTTACCAAGACCTGTCCAGTTTTCCTCCCAGAAGCTCGTGCTAGCACCATCATGGACTGTCCATCTAATGCCCTTGTCAAGAATGTGATGTCATCTTTTGAGAGATCTCTAAGTGACAGACATATTCGAGACCTTACCCCTATTATCATTGTTGAGAAGATATTTTTCCTTCAGCACCCTAACCCACAGCTCACTCTGGTTATGTAGCATTCTCCAACATCGTTTGGATAGTAATTCTTGGTTTATGGCTCTGCTCAATTTACGATCGAGGCCATCTTCTTCCTTTGCTTTAGTCACTTCAGTCCACTTAAGTCTATGAAGTTTTTTCCTGTTACTTCTTCCTTCCCATAAAAATCTTCTATTGATTTTATCCAACTCAGAGCATGAAAAAGTAAGGAAGGCCGTGCATTGCATGTAGTAAGCCGTGAGAGCTTCCATAGTAGACTGATCAAAACCATTCTACCAGCGGGGGAATAAGAGACTAGCTTTCCAGCCTACGAGTTTGGAATTAACTATTTCAATGATAAAATCAAAATCTTAATTTCTTACGTTTCTGCTATGCATAGGGAAACCAAGATATTTTCCAAGTTCATCAGTACTTCTTATATTCAAAAGTTTAGTTATCCAATCCTGCTGATCTCTCTTGGTGTTCCTGGAAAAACCAATTCTGGATTTTTCCAAGTTCACCTATGGCCTAATTCTTCCATGAATCTATCCAAGATCTTTTTAATGGTGATGACAGATTTTTTGTTGGTTCTTGAGAACAAAACAACATCATTAGCAAAGAGTAGGTATAAGAGACGTAGACCTTTCCTAGAGACCTTAATTGGGAACCACGTCCTAGTCAAGCATCCAGAATCAAAGCGTTAAGGTACTCCATGCATAATATGAATATATACGGGGAAAGGGGATCACTTTATCGAATACCTTTTGAAGTTTGAAAACTTTTCATCCTTTCTCCATTAATGACCACTACGAGATAGGAGGATATCATGCTATTCATGATTAAATGAATCCATTTTGGAGGAAACTTGAAGAAGTAGAGGAATTCTTTGATGAAGCCCTATTCTAGGCGATCATACACCTTTTCTAGGTCGAGTTTGATCACCATAGTCTTTTCTTCCTTTTCATGGAATGCAAAACTTCTTGAATAATAACCACACTGTCAAAAGCTTGTCTCCCCAGAATGAAACTTCCTTGAAGTGGTGATATGAGTTTGTTCAATAAGGGGCGTAACCTTTTCACTAAAATCTTAGAGACAATTTTGTAAGTGGTATTAAGCAAGCTTATAAGGTGATATTGACTAATTAAATAAAGAGATTCGCCCTTTGGAATGAGGGAGATAAGCATGTCATTCATAGCCTCTTGAAGCCTTCCACTCACAAAAACTTCTCGAATGGTCTCATAAATTTTGCCTTTAACTTTGTCCCAACAATGTTTGTAAAAGCCTAGGTGAAAATCATTTGGACCTAAAGCTTCGAAAGGTTTAAAACTCCATAGAGCCCTGCAAATATCTTTGTCTTGGAGTGGTAGTTGGAGTTGCCCGATTTCATCTTCATTGAGAGAAACCCATTTAAAGCCTTATAGGTCAATTCCTTGAGACCCATCATCTTGGAGATTGTGAAGAAGGATGTGAAGTGCTCCATAACAATTTTCTTAACCCCAGTGTTGCCCATAATCCATTCTCCATTTGCATCCTCTAATTTTGTTTCTTTACCTTCTAACAAGTGTTGAAATATGAAAGAATAAAGTGCTTATTTCCCTTTCTATAAGCCATTTTATCCTAGATTTCATAGCCAAGAAGGTTTCCTCTTCTCTAAGGATGACTTGGTACTCGCTCATGAGTACTTTTTGAAGGTTTATGAAGAAGTCATTAGGTCTCTACTCGAGGGATTTTTCTATGCCTTTCAGTCTAGCTAGAAGTTTTCATTTCTTGTGAAAATCATTATTGAAGGTTTCTCTATTCCATATCTTCAAGTTTTTGGTGAATTGCTCAATAGTTAAATTCAGAGTCGATGAAAGAAAAGGCCACCCATGGTCAAGTGTTCTAGGAAATTCTAGGTGATCCAACTACATTTTTTGAAACCAAAACGGTTTATCATCAAATGAGAAATTACAAGCTTTGAAGGATGTAAGGATAGGGCAATGATCCGATCTTGGTCTTGGAAGGTGAGATACGATGGCTCTAAGGTATAAAAGATTCTAAGCAGGCTTAAAAAAAACAGTTTACCCACTCTTGAATGAGGTATTGAACCCCTCTCATGTTTATTCAAGTAAATTTTAGTCATTTAAACCCAATATCAAAGAGGTTACAATCATTCACGTAGGCATGAAATTTCTTTAGTCTGTGACTTGAAATTAGGGCGCCCCTTCTTTTCTCATTAGAGGATAAAACCTCGTTAAAATCCCTAGTAACTAGCCAAGGCAAATAATGGTTCATGGCCACTACTTTAAGGTTATCCCACAATAATTTCCTTTCTTTTATTCTAGGGCTAGCATATATAGTAGAAAATAACCAAGACAGGTTAGAAGACATTACCTTAACTAAAGCATGAATTGGCTAAATGCTTAAATCATAATCAAACATTGAGTGGTTGCTTAATTCAGGATCAAAAGTTTTAATTCATACAAATAAGGATAAAATGTTAGCAATTTGTAATAATGTAGGATTTATTTCATAGGTCAAAAGAAATATGCATCTTACACGTGTCGTTATAACACATAAAAAGAATAACAAATGACTGATTAGGTAAAATCATGCTGATTTGGATTTTTTTTTGGTGAAAAATGCCTAAAGTATCACCTTATAAAAATTTAGGAAGAGATTATTAAAAGTATTTTTGGCCAAAAACGCATTTAATAATCCCATTAAAAATTTTTTTTGGGATTATTTAAGGTATTTTTTTTACGAAAAATACTTTGAGTAATCACGTCATAAAAATTTATGAATAGATTATTGAAGGTATTTTTTGTCAAAAAATGCCTTCAATTATCTTATTAAATTTTTTTTAGGATTATTCAAGAAGTTTTTGATCAAAAATACCTTGAGTAATTACGTCATAAAAATTTATGAGGAGATTATTGAATGTATTTTTGACCAGAAATACCTTAAATAACCCCATTAAAAATTGTTTTCTGAAATTTTCAAAGCATTTTTGACGAAAAAAGGTCATAAATAATCACCTCATAAAAATTTTTTGAGAAGCAAGTTTGGACTGTAAATTTTTCTCCTCATTTTCTTCATCGTCTAGCTCAACCGGCTGTGAAATTTTGTAAAAACTTTTTACATTGAACTCAATATCAACATGACGCAATTCTAAAAAAAAGAAGGCTTGGTTGTATTGCAACTCTCTCTCGAGGAGAATAAGAACTGCATCAAAGCACCAAGAAGATCAAGCAGTCACATCCTGCTCGCTGTAAAGCTCTCACGTCTGATTCAAAGGTGACAACACGTAGGAAAATCATTTCTTAAAAAGATTCTCTCCTTGAAGCTTCATATGGCGCGTATGAACAATATTTTTTCGACCAAGAAAAGGAAAGCATGGAAACAGATACGGAAGAGGAACTCCAGGATCAGCCACTCTGACCATATTAACATCATGCTTAATACAAAAGAGGAGAAAACAAGAATCAAGAGCAGATGGGCCAAGACACTGATAGTTAAAGGTGCTCGAAAGAAATGTTAGTTACCAGTACCTGGTGTTTAAATTAATCCAGATATGGAAGACACAAGGTAAATTTTTTGTTATTGATCATGGTAGTGATTACTTTTTTATTATATTCCAGAATCCTAAAGATTATGATTATGTGATCAAAAAGGGCCCCTGGTTTATGGGTGGACATTTTCTGGCTATCTGAAATTGGACTCGTAACGTCAGAGTTGTAAAAGCATCTTTCTCATCGGTAGCAGTTAAACTCCCCAAATTACCCATAGAATACTATGCTACTGAAATCTTCACTAGAATAGGAAAGAGCATAGTTGTCTACTTAGAGTGGATAAACATATTCTCTCTGAAGAAAGAGGCAAGTTAGCACGGCTATGTATTCAAGCTAATCTGGACAAGCCATTGAAGAGATCTATTTCTGTTGAAGGGAGAACAACAGTCCATATTTATGAAGGGATCTGTATGTTATGCTTCCAGTGTGGGAAAATCGGGCATAAGAAAGAATATTGTCCTGAGAATTTAAAACTCCCTTCCATGCAAACGTAGGAAGGGAGTACAGAGATTAAGAAACCAAAGGAACCAATCAACATGGAGGGAAAAAAGACTGAGGAAGGGGATTGTGGCCCATGGATGCTGGTCCAAAGGGGACGGAACGGACAAAAGTTGAAGCCATCGCCTATGGCCAGGGTTAGGTCGATAGCTGTAGAGCTCAGTTTCACAATAAAGGAAGCTATCAAGAATGAGACAAAGCAAGTCTTTCCCTCCAAGTGAAAGAATCACCGTCACAAAATCAAAGAAATATATAAGGAATCAAAGAAAGGTTATTGTCAGGAAACTTGAATGAAAAACAAAGGGGAAAACTTCCATTGGTTAACACAAAACAGGTTGTTGACTGACATGAAAAAGATAATGACATGTCTTAAAAAGGAGAAGTAAACAAGGTAAATGCTAAACAAGATAGAAACAATGAGGGATTTAAGGCAAAAAAATAATAACAATGCTAGTGGAACAAATACACTCCGAGAAGCAATGTTTCTTTTTGAATGCAAGTTAGCAGCCCTAAGCATGCAACCACGTAGACTGAAAAGACAAGACACCAAGTAGGTTTTTCAAATTGTTTACAAGGAAAAGAGGACGAGTATACGGTGAACATTCATCAACCGCATAAAACACCAAATCTTCCAGAACCAAATGAGGTAACTTACAATGACCTCCTCATGGAATCAACACTAGCTCTAAAAACCAAAATTCAGGGCACTCAATGCCAGCCAACACATGAGAATCTGCAATAACAGGCATTCGAGAAGGGAAAGGATACAGCAAGCAAATCGCAGAGCTTCTCCACAAACTTCATCAACTTCTCCTTTGGCCTATCTAGGTTGTAAACCAGGATCCTCTACGACAAGCTGTAAGTGAGATCAACGAAAGGGAAGATTCTGCAGATCAATTTCCCCAAAGGAGAGAGGTTATCCACAAGATGTACGAAGCAAGGGAGACCATATTGACACCATCTACCAGACTTTGGAGCAACCTACCTCTACTAATCTGTTCGCCTCCTGTTTTGCCATTTCTTCATCAAAGCTCACACTTCTCAGAGACACCAAGTCCCTTGAACAGGTAGCATCGGCAAAACTTCGAGATGTTTCCTTAACAGATAGAAACTGTCCTAGTCTCCTCCTCGGCAGAAAGAATGTTGGAAGTCCACATGAGGTACACGCAAGTTTCAGTGATGAAACTGCTAGTGGACAGAGCAGCACAATCAAGATAAATACCAGCTACCTAGTGATCCAAGGATTGGAGACTCTCTTGCATAAAGTGGAATTTTACCGCGAATGAATCAGGAAGAAGCGATGGAATGGGACATACAATTGTTAATGAAATACCCCAAACACCTTACCTTCCTAGTTTTGAAGAAAAACCATTTCGTTTTTAATGCATGTGGATAGACATATGGACTTCCACCAGGCCATGGCTAACCAATGGGCTCCAAATCACCTTCCACTTAACCAGACTATCGATGATTTCATCAAGTATCTCAAAGCCCGTAATAAAGTGACCTTTGGCAATATCTACCACAAGAAATGTAAAATTATTACTAGATTGAAGGGCATTGCAGAAGCCCTTGATAACAGACGAAATGATTTCTTACTTAATCTTCAAAGAACCTTGATGGAAGACTATCAAGGAAATCCTCAAACATGAGGAACTTTTGTGGGCTATGAAATCAAGAGTGAGTTGGACGATAAAAAGGGAGAGAAATACAAGATTTTTCCAACTTTACAACTCTTGTAAGAAGATATAGAAATAAAATCGGTGGCTTGTATGATGTCAATGGAGTTTGGATCACTGATCATGAAGGAATGAAAGCAATAATCATGGATCACTTCATGAAATTGTTTTCCCCGTCCAACGTGAATGAAGTCAGGAACCAAGAGCCAAATCACCTTAAGTAGGCCATGTTGATATCCATAAGGTAATTTTTGCGGACCAGCTCCAAGCAACGGCTTTTGATGTTGATATTCATAAGGCCTTAGAGCCTCTTAAACCATTTAAGACCTTGAGCCTTGATAGCCTTCATTCTTTCTTCTTTCAACCGTGTTGGTCCAAGGAAAAATAAAAAAAATATGTGAGACCATTGTCAAAACGTTTAACACTGGAAAACTATAGAAAGGTATGAATAAAATGTTGATCACCTTAATTCCAGAAAACCAAGCACCCACCTCCACAAACTACTTCCGTCCCATCAGCTTCTTCAATACCGCTATATAAAATTGTGACTATAATAATGGTCTAGAGGTTACGACCCTTGTTGAACAAATTCATATCACCCCTGCAAAGGAGCTTCCTATCAGGAAGACAAGCGGTTGCAAGTGTCATCATTGTCCAAAAAGTCCTCCATTTGATGAAGTAGAAAAAGGGTCATCATGGGATCATGACTTTGAAGGTCGATATTGAAAAAGTCTATGATTGACTTGAATGGGGTTTTATAAGAAAGATCCTCATGTTCTTCAAATTTCTAGCATCATGGGTTAATTTGATTAGGAACTATATTATCATTTCAAGTTCAACAATAGCGGCTAATGGAAGTAAGCTTGAAAGTTCCATCCTTCGAGAAGCATTCGCCAAGATGATCCATTATAGCCATACATTTTCATTTTATGTATGGAGTATCTCAACTTTACCTTCAAGGAGGCTTTATGAAAAGAAATAATGCTGCCCAATCAGCGTCTCAAGGAGAGGTCCATAGCTATCCCACCTCTGTATATAGAATGGATAAGAAATCCACTGCCACAATAAAAAAGGTGCTGGAGGAATTCATGTAAGAATCTAGACAAAGAATCAACCTGGAGAAATCAAGAATTCTTCTCTCAAAAAAACCAAGGATGAACAAAGGGATTGGATTACAAGTTGTCTAAACATCAAAGCAATGAAAGAGTCTGGAAAATATTTGGGGTTCCCCATGCATGACAAAAGAGTGAGAAAGCAAGACATGAGTTAATCGTAGAGAAGGTTAAATCTAAGCTAGCAAGTTGGAAAGCAAATTTACTTTCCCCTACCGATAACATGGTTCTTATCCGGTCAAGTATAACAGCGATCCCGACATATTTCATGCAGTGCAGAGC